TATATATATATATATTTATCTCTTATTACAAAATATATCTCATTATATATATGCATATATATAATGCAAGAAAATTTAAACTATACTTGTGCAGTTGAAAATAATAATAATTTAACGAGTAAATAACAATTATCAATTTTGACTGTATTAAATGTATCAAGTTGTAGCTTGTATTATTAAGTAATTTTTCTATTATTATCTATATATATATATATATCTTTTTTGTTCAACTAAGTATGGAAACTCCGGCATTCACAAAGCTTCATTATAAGTTATGGGGAATAACTAATTTATTTTGCAATATTTATTATTCTTAATAATATAGAATATATTTTAATTTTTTGCATATAGAAATATATTTTATTTATTATTATTATTTTTTTCTTAAATATTCAAACACTATGCTTATTAAATTATAAAATAATGATAGCTTCTTTTTAAGCTGAATTATAAATACTTGATCGAGTATTAGTTAATTCCTTAATGCCTATGTTAGTATTTTCTTCTTTTGTTGCGATTTACATATTTTTTTAATTATAAATAATCAAATTGTATAAGAACTTAAAATACATTAAAATCACTTATCAGATTTTGTGGGCATTCAGGAATGTTGATTAAATGTAGCATGTAATTTGTATATTATCAAAAGTAAATAGTAGAAACATTTTTTATTTTCAATTAAAATGAATAAGAATATTTAAAAAAACAAAAACAAAGTAAATAATAATGAAAAATAATATATTTCTAATATAATGATCTTAATGATCTCTGTAAAGATATTTAAGTATAAATTAAAATGTACACATATATATATATATATATATATATATATATATACAAAGTGTTCCAGAAATTTATTTGACAAAAATAGTTATGGAACATTTTATAAAAAAATTTTAAGATTTTGCAAAGAAAATTTATTTTTTTTTTATTTTTTTTAATTTAAAATAATGATTCCTTTTCGGGATACATGGGGTGCGTCGACCCGTTTTAATATAATACCTCTTTACAAATATACATTTTTACAAATACACCTATACACAAGTACACCTTTATTAACTTCTTCTTACTACCACATCCTCTTAACGCGCAAAGAAAATTTATTTATAAAATACTATTACATAAATAAAACTTTAAATAAACAGGAACAAATTGGGCAGATCCAAGAATTGATCATAGAGATCCACGTGATTTACGATCAGTCGATCCAAGAGAGATGCGAGATCCACGAGATCATCGTATACCTCATGATCCACGTGATCATATGCGCGTAATGGATCCTATGGCAAGAGATCCAAGGATGGGTGATATGCGAGGGGATCCACGTGGTATATCTGGACGATTAAATGGTAGTAATACTGATGCCATGTGGGGACAACCACCGGGTCCTCCGCATCATCAGATGAGTCACCAGCATCCATCTGGTCCTCCTACTAAAATGCTCAATCCTACTAACATGAATCAATGGGCAGCACCGCCACCAAAGGATATGATGCCTGGTAAACCTTCCGGATGGGAAGAACCATCTCCACCAACTCAAAGGCGTAATGTAACTAATTATGACGATGGTACAAGCTTATGGGGAAATCCAGCAGCCAATCAGCGCACAATGCCTGCTACTAAAGTATCACATTGGAAAGACTTGCCAACCCCTAATATTGGACGTGGAGGTAATTAAAATATATATACAAAAGATTAATTATTCATTTTTACAATTACAATATTTCAAACATTGTCAAATTATTGTTAAACAGGTATGCAATGTCCACCAGGCATGCCTCAGAATAGAATGCCTGGTCAACCAGGTATGAAACCTGACGTAGGAGGTCCAGGAATGTGGGCTCATCCTGGAGCTCCAGGTGGACGTAATGGAACATGGGCAGATGGGCCTCATGATACTACCTCTTGGGATGATCCCAAAACACCAGCTACTTGGAACGAGCCTCCATTGAATCCAGCTACTTGGGGTGGTCCTGCTACTCATAAACAAAAATCAATGGGACCTACTGGTAGTTGGGTAGACTCTGACATTGATCCTACTCCTAGTTGGGGTCATCCTGCTAAACCTACCTTAACCAAGGACTTTATTTGGAATAGTCGTGAATTTCGTTATCTTTGTGACTTAGGATATAAGGTATTTAAAATAATATTTGTCAAGACACAACAACGGATTGTCTCTATTAATTGATATTATATTAATGTCGTTGATAATTTATTTGTCCTTTAGAAAGAAGATGTGGAGTTAGCTCTGAGAAACCGTGAAATGAACAGAGACGAAGCCCAAGAACTTTTAAGTCAGATTCGACCTCTTGATCAATGGCCACGTCGCCATGATACACATTCTGGTTATGATCCAACTAATCAACCAACAACTGCACCAGCATACCCGAGATTCAATCATGTGTCACAACCGATGACATTCCCACCGGTAAGTTTATTTATTTTTAATTATCAAATTAAACAAAGCACGTATTTCTTCTTTTTTTTTTGAACACAACTGCTACTAAAGAGTTTTCATTTTTAGTTTAACTTACAATATATTTCATAATTGTCAATTAAAAAAATAAGAGAATAATTATCAAAATTATCAACGAACGAATGTTCTTATTTTCAATTAACAATATCCAGTGATTGTTCTAATTAAATATTTTAGCTTATTGCAAATAAAAAGAATATTTGAACTAATGAAAAATGAAACTTTTCCTAGTGAAGACATCTGTAGAAAATTGAAGAAGTTTTTCTTTTTTTTTGTTTGTGAAGTCTGTGATTTTTTTTACGTGTTCTTTTGATTTTGTTGTCCCCTTATGGGGGTGGGTGTGTGGTACTGTAATGTTGTTTTTTTTTTTTTTTTACTCTTTGAAATGAATTTTTTCTTCTTGACACATTTGATCTTCCTGTAAGTATCACTAAAACGATTTTTATAAAGATATATTGTGCTGTTGTTCTGTTTTGTCATTTTTTTTTTTTATTGCTGGCTTCTTATTCATTTATAAAGAAAAAAATTGAACGAGATAAA